GGAGTCAATAATGACTCCAAGATCCTTTTCCACCTCCGTGCTGACAAGAGGGGAGTTCCCCAGCCTGTAGGTATGGTGCCGGTTGTTCCTCCCTAGGTACATCACCTTGCACTTGTCTGTGTTGAACCCCATCCTGTTCTCCTCCGCCCATCCTTGTAACCTGTCAAGGTCCGACTGTAGCCTGTTGCTCCCTTCTGTTGTGCCCACATCCCCCCACATCTTGGTGTCATCAGCAAATTTGAACAGGGTGCTTTGCACCCCCTCATCCAAATCACTGATGAAGATGTTGAACAGGGCGGGGCCGAGGACCGCCCTGTTCAGGTACAGGAAGGGAGGTGATGCTGCTCCTTGCAGCCTGAACAATGCCTACTCAGCAAAACTAGACACTAAATTTGATGAGCAGAACATCAGCTGGAGAAATTCAGCGTAGCTCCACTGACTGCACTGGTATCTTCACACTCTGAATCAGCATCCAGTGATGCCAATTTGGATTTGGCTAAGGAGCTGGACAGTTCTCCATCCTACTGCACTCTGATACTTCTCCCTGCACACTGATACTTCTCCCTGCTTTAAGAGGAAGGAGCCATGTGCAGATATCTCTTTGTGTTCACAAACCTCTGCAAGATACAGCTGCAATTATGGTTAGTTTTAATGTCCATTGAAAAATCCAAACAGAGACCTGCTGCTGCAGAGGTAGCATGTGGGGTATCATTTCTTTGTCATTTTTTAGTTTATTATTATTTAAGCAAACCTGTAAACAATTACATGATTTAAAAGGGAAAGTAGCACTACATAAAACTCATCTCAAGCTTTCCCAATCCTTGCTTCTCTTCAACTGAAAGGTTTTGTTATATGATATGTAGATTGGAAAAAGTATAAAGCAAATCTAGGAAGCACTTATACATATGAATTAGCCTATAAAAAGTTTTAATTTCCAAGTCAGAGGGTGCAGTTTTACTGCAGACGAAGATTCACTTCAGTTCACTCCCCTTAAATTTAACTAGGAGGTTTATATGCCTCACCATTTAGACTCTTAAATGGGAAATAAAGTTTTGTTGGAGCAGGAGATGCTAAATGTAATTTAAAGTCCCTACTGTGCTCCTGTGTTTTAGTTATTCAGAGCTTCCTGGCTTTGCATTTGTTTTATGGTCAAACCTTTAGAAACAACAGCATCAAACTTGTGGAGTGATTGAGCAGCCTTAGAACTTGCTAAAGTTGGGAGCCAATATTTCGGTGGATGGCACTTTGTTCATATTTTGGCATAACACTGTAAAAAGAGGAGCTTCATTTTGTCTACCCATCTGTAGCATTGATAAATACACAGAAACATATTTTTAAAATTATTTTTAAAAGAAGTATATCAAGCGTGACATGCATTGATACCAGGACTGGCTCAAGTACTTGACTTTGCTGGAGATGCAGTCCCTGGACTTTCTTATCATGAATGCTCAGACACTGCATTGAGGACTGACTTTCTGAAAATGGAGACAGGCCGATCATTCAGAAAGGAGAAAACAACATGGCAAGTCTCGTTGGCAGTTGGAATGCTCCAGCCCCCGGAGTCATGGGAGTAGATGAGACTCTCAAATTCCAATTAGAAAAAAAAAAAAAATCTAAAATGGACTCAGAAAGAAAGCTCAGAGTTGCTTTCTATAAACATCCCAGAAATGATCGTCATGATCATGGGGAATAGGTATATACTAGGGCTGTGTGAAGCTTTGGGTGCTGATTTGATTTGGAGGAGATTTGGCCCGATTTGGTGACCGAATCTCCAAATCTGAATCGAATCAGGAGACCAGTAAAAAGGTCTGAATTGATTTGAAGCCTCTGAATTGATTCAGAGAGCTGATTCAGGCAGTCCCTGCTTGCCACTGCAGGGAGCTGGACCTGGGCTCCGTGAAGGAAAGTAGGGGGCAGGGGAGAGGGGGCGGGAACCTTGGGGTTCCCGCCCCTGCCAAGCCCTATCTCCTGCCTGCTCTCCCAGCCCCCCTGAGCACCCCCCAAACCCCTGCCCACTCTCCCAGAGGGCCTCCCCCCCCCCCCCGGGGCCCCGGCCTTAAAAAAAAAAAAAAAAAAAAGCCCCACACTCACTGGCTGCTGCCAGGAAGGGGGGCTATCCCCACTGCACCTCACTGCCCCATGGTGCATGGGGAGCTCTGAGATGAGACCCCCACCCACTCTCCCAGCCCCATCAATGGCTGCCCCACCCAGCCCCAGCTCCTCGCTCTTTAAAAAAAAAGAAGCCCCACAATCACCAGCTGCTGCAGCAGCCATTGAGGCTTCTGGGGGCTCGTGGCAGAGCCCCCCATACAGCACGGAGCAGTGGGGGGCAGTGGGGATTGCTCCCCCACCTGGCAGCAGCTGATGAGTGCGGGGATTTTTTTTTTTTTTTTTTTTTTTTTTGCTTTTTTTTTAAAGAGCCAGGGCTCTAGGGCCAGGCGGGGCAGCCATTGATGGGTATGGGAAGCGGGCAGGGGATGGGTCGTGTCTGATTCACAGATTCAGCTGATTCGGCCAAATTGAATTGGGACAGTGATTTGAATCAACAAATTGAGTCACTGTCCCGCAAATCGATTGAATCCGAAGCAAATACCAGCTGCTTCACACAGGCCTAGTATATACTAGCTTCAGGGTTATACCCAAGTCAAAACACTTGACCTACCTCCTGCTTGGTTGCATCTCCTCTTCCAGGGGTAGGCTCCCACTACCCTGTTATAAAAAACTTTGCAAGCCTTGAGACCACTCCAGTCTTTCTTCTGTTTGCTGCCACATGCCTCATCCTTCAGTTCTCTGGCATTATCCTTGGACTGGAGGTTTGATGACCCTCCTCATAAGCATTCCCATCATATTCTCCTGGCCTGTGGGTCTCCAACCTGTCCATTGGTCCACCGCTTAGTTCTCTATCCATGGACACACTCCTTTTTGCCCGACCACTGAGTGACTTGGGCTCCTTTCAGAGCTTCAAATGGCATTTCTTTGCCTTATCTCTGCTTCAGCTTTTCCTTCTCTGCCCTGCTCCACTGATGCCTCAACCTGCCTGTCATTAACTCAAATGAACTGGAGAAAACCCAGTTTGCCTTTCCTCCTGAACCTTGTACTCCACCTTTCCACCCACTGCCTAGGCCAAACTCTTTCACGTCTGACTCTGCTTTGGTTCCTCCTATATTCACACTGCAACCAAATACTTTCAGTCCTTCCTCTATCATCACTGGCCCCTCATTCCCTTCTTTTCTACTGCTAAAACTGTGGTGTGTGCCTCAGCAAACACTCATGACTGGTCCCAAAATTATTCCCTCCTTGTTTCCCCCAACACTTGCTTCTAAAATTCAGATGCCGGCTCAAGTTTCTCTCCTTCTGCTCATCCCATGAATCTTCCTACCTCTTTCTTGACTCTCACTCTCTTTTTTACCATGTTCAAACTCCTGAGGATTAATCTGGTTCTACTCCCATTAGGGCTGGATTTCACCCCGGCACTGAACTCTGTGCTCTGGGTTACACCCTGTGATACACCTTGTGCTCTGTGTATCACAGCACTCCTTTCCCTTCCCTGACCTCTCTCATTCTTTGCTCTTCCCTCGGCTCCTGGCTTGCTACCTCTTCCCTATATTTCTCCCATTGATTCCTTCGCTTCTGCTTCCATGCTGCCCTGTCAGACTTGGAGTGATGCGCACCAAACATGTTCCCTTCCCTTACTGCCTTCACTCATGAGAAGGACGACGAATGGTCCAGATCTGCCGTCATTTCCATACTTTCAGGGGACCCTTAAAATGCCCCAGCTTGCCAAGGGTATTGTGCCTGGCAGGGTGATGTTTTAATGGAAACCTGCTGTTATAAATGCCAGGCCTGGGAGATGAATATATAAAAATAGCACCCCATCGCATCGATGGAGAGTGAGCTTGGGCTCATAAAAGTTTATACATATACATAACAGGGTCATTTTCAGGATCCCTTGAAAGTATGGAAATGACAGGTGATCCAGATCATTCGTCTTCAGTACGCCTCATACTATTTGTATAATATAAGCTTTTGTGAGCCCAAGCTCATTCCCCATAGATATGATGGGGTGCTATTTTTATATATTCATCTCCCAGGCCTGACATAGATCAATAGATCGATCGATCGATCTCTGTCTATCTATATACATGCATACACAAACACACACATACAAATCTAAGATATCTATCTATCTATCTATCGATAGGTCTCAGAATTAGTCTACAAGGTTCAATTCTACCGTGCATGTTGCCTGTCTAGGATATTGCCAGCTTAAAGTTACAAAGTAGCAGTTCTCCTTAGTTCATTGGTTGCTAACATCTCGCCGCAGGAATCAGGATCCCAGAGTTAGGCCTGTAAAACTATAGGCTTCCAGAAGTTTCAAGATCCAATCAACTGCAAACTTTGTGAAAAACTGCAGCAGGTTGTGTCATCCTAATGAATACAGTATGCAGCTTTGCAAAGTCAGGAATTTTGTACAGGGAATACTGGTTTTTTATCATCTAATTGCCGGCAAAAATTCAGAGATATATTTTTTCTTTTTTTTTGTGTGTGGAGAAAGCTTTTTTTTTTTCTTGTGAGATCTTTGACTGTGTATATTACTCCTTGGTCCCCAGATAAATTCCAATGAAGAAAAACCTCTATTCAAGTCCTTCAATTGAAAAAAAACCCAACCAAACAACCTTTTACATAAACTGATAGCATCTCCCCAGCTGAAAGCAGGTTGATTTTTCTGCAAATGGCTAGCATTTTGTCCTTAAAACAGGCATTGTTAAGCTAGGTGATGCATACCTATTTGCAAAAGGGAAAGCCATTATCTTCCAGTAAAGCAGCTTTTAGAGCTGAAAAAAGGTGCAAACACCTATGTCAAAACAGGCAGAGCAAGTGCAAGCAGGCTGCTTGCTGGGTTTCCCCATCAGGGATGCTCTGTTTCAGATGGGTGCATGGACTATTGAAAATGCTCCTTTGTGGAAACCCATCAGATGCACCAGCCAATGGCTTCTTACCTGAAATGAAGTGGTTGGGTGTATGTTAAGACGGGCCTGATTCCAGTGCTGCCCCTTATTCCCACTTAAGGACCATAATGGGTTTTCTATTGTCGTCTGACCCTTTAGCCGCAGGTAAACATTCAAGCTTCCTTAAAAAATAAAACAAGACAAAAAAGGAATGGCATTAATTGGCTTGGTTCTTTGGTGCAGTTACATTAATAATGGCTGAACAACCAGAACTGGGTGGAACGAGAGGCTCTTTCCCCACCCAGTCCCTTGTACGCTATGATAAAGCACACTCATCGCTTTCCCGGGTAATAGGTTAGCATGTAGCTCCGATCACTCTCCATTTGGCCTGGTGGGCCCCTGGCTTCGGGCACCTGAGGCTGGCTGCTTACCACCTCTTCAAAAGGGTTGGACTCTTTCAACCTGCCCGAATCAAAGACCACTGCATCTGCCAGGGAGAACTTGGGATAAATTTTACAATCTTTGCACTCTCCTTTGCCTGAGAAAGAGCGTGTGCCCAAAAGCTTGCAAATAAAGAACTTTTTTTGCAACTATTTAATAAAAGATGTCACCTTTACCAAGAATTCTGATTGAAAATGAAGTAAATGCTCCAGGATGCAATATTCACAGGGCACAGGCAGGGGATGCCAGGCAAGGCATTGCCACAGCAGCAGGGTCTGCAACAGAGCAGGCTTCCCCAGAGAAGAAAGGAAGCCAGGGATTTCAGCAGGGCCGTCTCATCTGGGTGCAGGCAAGGCAGCTCTGATCCCATCATTCAGTCAGTGATAGGAAGTTCTAACCAGTCCTTAGACCTCAATGGCAGAGCCTATCCTGTTCGTTCTCGAACAGGGTGATCCCAGTCCCTGGTAATCTGGATCTTCCCTATTTATCGGGTGTATGGGATGATCTTTCTCCTGTGAGGTAGGGCTTTGTGAGCAGTACGTTGCTTTGTGGATTAAGGTCCAAGATCAAGGGCAGAAGAGGCACTCAGAAGGAAAAGTCAGGAATATAACAGCTCCTGTCCCTACCTGATGGCCGAGTTAACAGTGCCCAGGGAAGCAGGAAGATACAAAGAAAGGGGCTTGGGTAAGCACAGCTCTGCCATGACTTCAATGCCAAAATTATGACCTTTGACACCTGCACTGTTTGATCTGCATTTCCCTCACACCAGGCCATGCTTCGAGGGAAAAGGGCTTGGGGCAAATCTGGTTTCCTTAGGTCCTGGGAACAATCAGAGTTTTTGAAGGCCAAACTAATCCTGTGAGCTCAGCAAGTTCTGCTTAATGAAGCATGGAAAAGCCCATTCCCTTGTACTGAGAAGCAATACAAGGTCGTTCTCCTCAGCTGAATGCTATTTCCAAGGCAGATATTCTCCACAACCGGTTACAGCCTGCTCTTGCACCCTCAAACCCCTCTACCGCACCCCTCCCTGGTGTCTGTTTTGCCAGCTCTGCCTTTGGATATGCACGTGAAGCACTTATTGCTCACAGCACCAAGTGAGAAAGAAAAAAAAAAATCACTAGCTTCTGGCAGGATGTGAAAGTTCACAGAGTTTAGGAGCTCTGTTCACAGTTGCTTTTTGTTCCATGCACGGGTTTGCCATGATCCCTGTCGGCTGGAGATGTCCTTTGCAGACCACTCTCTTTATTATGATGATGATGATGATGATGATGTAAGTCTTCATGTTTGCCTTTATTTGAACAAGTTCAAAGCTCTCAAGGACAGGTCATCACTATGGACAGCAAGAGCATTGTCTCTGGGAAGCCCTACAGAAAGCCTTTCTCCTGATGGGCTCATTGTTTTAAATCTTGAGCCCTTACCCAAGCAGAGGGGAATCTTACAGAAGATCACAGAGTCATACAAAATGAGGGTGGGAAGGTACTTCAGGAGCTCACATCTAGTCCAACTCCCTGCTCAAAGAAGGACCAGCCCCAACTAGATCATCCCAGCCAAGCCTTTGTTGTGCCAGGCCTTAAACACCTCCAAGGATGGATAGTCCACCATCTCTCTGGATAACCTGTTCCAGTGCTTCACCACCCTAGATCTGTGAAGTCTAGCTACGGTCATTCTCCCTCCTGTCCTATTTGCTTCCTTCCTTTTGGTTTGGTCTTTATTTCTCCCCATATCTCCTCTTCTGCACTAGTCCTGGATGCACAAATAGCAGGGAATAGACTAGATGATCCTCAGAGGTTCCTTCTAAGCCTATAAGGAAGAGAACCAGGCTTAGCTGAGTAGTAAAGTTGCACCAAAGGTCATTGGATGAGTGTAGTGGGAATAAAGCTGGGTCCATGGCAGACTCCTGAAGAACAGACTTAGGGAGAGACAGAAGGAAGAACAAAGGTGATGCATCAACTGACCAAGAAGAGCACCAGAAGAATATGGAGTCAGGGAATGCCAAGGAAGACAGCATCTCAAGTAGGAGAGGATGGTTCACGGTGTTGCAGGGAAATGAGAACAAGTAGGGAACCTGTATTCCCTGACTGGGCACCACAGGATGACTAAATAGTAATCCCTGTGATAAAGGTATGTGATTACATCATGTCTTGAGGACACTGGGAAGAGACCTGGGAGTCATCGTGGACAGTCTGCTAAAAATATCAGCTCAGTGCTCAGCAGCCATCCAAAGCCAAGCAAAATGTTAGGAATTATTAAGAAAGGAATTATGAACAAAATGGAAAGTGTCATGTTGCCCCTTTAAAAATCCATGGTGTGTCCACACCTTGACAACCATGTCCAGTTCTTAACCCACACTCAAAAACAATATAGAAGACCTAGAGAAGGTACAGAGATGGTCAACAAGGGTGATGAGTGTTATGGAGGGGCTTTCATATGAGGAGAGGCTGATGAGGCCAAGCCTATACTGTTTAGAAAAGAGATGCTTGAAGAGGGGGTGTGATAAGGGTTTACAAAATACTAAATGATGAAGAGAAAGTTAGTAGGGAGTCATTATTTACTATCTCTCACTCTCCAAGATTAGGAGTCATAATATGAAACTAGTAGGTAGGAAGTTTAAAACAAACAAAAGGAAGTTCCTTTTCATATAGCATGGGATGGACGTGTGGAACTCATTGCCACAGGATGTGGCGGAAGCTGACAGTTTAGCCCCAATGCAAAAAGGGTCTGGACACATTGGGCATGCCTACACATTCATTAATGTGCTTTAGGTAATGTTCATGAAATCTAGTACCTCCATTGCGAGGTAGTACAAAAAGGCACAATAGCATCATTTAATATAATAAAATAACATTTAGCTAAAGAGCACTTTTTTGTGATACTTTAATGAGCATTAAAATAGACTAATGCACATTAAGGTGGACATGTAGACATGCCCATTCTTAGAAGAAAGGTGCATCAGTAGCTATGGAGCATGGGAGTGAGGGGTACATCCTCTGAATCAGAATTTCCTAGGCCTTAAATGCCCAAGGCTGCAAGGGGCAGATGAAAAGGGGAGAAACCCTGGTCAGACCCAGAAGGCTTACAAAAACCTAGAACTCTTGTTTCCAAAATGATATCTTTTATTAGAACAACTGGAAAATGGCAAGAAAATTGTCCTTTTCTCCAGCTGGTCTAATAAAAGGTATCATTTTGGAACTGAGAGTTCTAGTTTTTTGTATGTCTTTTTGTCTCAGAGCAGCATGGCTACCAAGTACACCCCGGTCAGACCAGGTTCACTCTCCATTTCAGCATTCGCTCTCTGCCTCCATGCGATGCAGGAGATTGGGCATGTTGGACCTATGGTCTGACCCAGTAAATGGCAGCTCTTATGCTCTTATGCCAAAGGTAAAGATCATTCACAGCAGAACCTACCTTCTTCCATCATGTCACTGTGCTTAGATTAATGGCAAGATGCCGACACATAGGGAGCATTTGTACTCAAAATAATAAATAAGCATTACTTTAGCGCATACTCACAGGCGTTCTCGATCAATCTACCTGGCAGCCTCTTGAGTCTACTTATGCATGCATGCCTGCTCTAGTCTCAAATGTATATGCAAATTTGACAGAATCAACCTGCAACAAACGCCTACTATTGAAATTAATAATGTGCTATTCATCATAGCCGGGCAGGACCTGTGGCCAGCTGCAAACTCATTTGGGATGGGGCAGAGAGGAGGAATAATGCCAACCCATAGTGTATATTTCTTTTACACAGGAAATTCTGGCCTTTCATAAAAGTGTACACATTCTGTAAACTGAGGGCAATTCTGATCAATGGAAAAATAAGCAATTAAGGGAAGTGCCAGTGGATAAAAAGAATTACAATGGGGGAGGTAGCAAATTTGGACGCACAAGTAAATCAGGTTATTTTTTTGTATGGCTGCACAACAGCCAATCTCCTTCTGAGTGGATCTGTTAATTACTGCAGCAGCCTTCTGGTTGCGTTTGGACCATTGCTCTCTCTTTTACTGAAATAACGTTTTTCATGGGGCCTTCTTTCATCTGGAGTCTTTTCTTTTTTTTTCCAGAAGATGATTCTCTAATGATAAGCACAATTAGTCTTCCTAAAGTGGCAATTAGAAATTCTGCTTCTTGGACAGCAAGAAGAGAAATGCAGATTGATAGCAAAGGAAACAACATCCGTACTAAAGAGACTGCAGCCTCTTCTGATCTCTTGGTAAAGGTTCACTGAGCACGGAGATGCTTAGCTCCTTGGTCCCCCAGTGATTGCACTGCGCCGAGACACCACAGTGAATCTAGCAGACTAGAAATAAGGGAGCTACACTGAGTCTTGAGAAAGCCTCTTGGGCTTTACCCCCGCCCGTGCTCCTTGCTTGGATAGTTTGTGCCACTCTGTTACTCCAGGCATAAAGGCATGAAAATTTTATAGCAGCTCCCCTTGAAAAGTGATGATCGCCCTCAGCTGCTACTGGCTTTTGCCAGGAATCGGAGTTACAGGGGCTCAGCACCACAAAGAATAAAATCTAGTCTAGCTAACATATGTAGAGCCAGCACAGTACTTGAAGAGCCTCCTGCCTCTCCTATGTACTTCTCAGGGATGTTGGGGAGACCCCAGCTGGAGTACCGTGCCCAGTTCTGGGCGCTGCACTTCAACAAAGATGTTGAAAATCTTGAAAGGGTGCAGAGAAGGGCCACGAGAATTATTAAGGGCCTAGAAGACCAACCTTATGAAGAAAGACTGAGGGATCTGGGGCTGTTCAGCCTGGGGAAGAGAAGGCTGAGCAGGGATTTGGTGGCCATCTATAAGTATGTAAAGGGTGAATATCGGGAACTGGGAGAAAAACTGTTCACTAGGGCGTCCCAAGGAAGGACAAGGACCAATGGCCATAAACTCTTAAGAGGATGATTTCAGGTTGGATGCAAGGAGGACTTATTTATGGTAAGGGTGACCCGAATCTGGACTAGACTTCCCAAAGAGGTGGTGCAGTCCCCTACTTTGGAAGTCTTCAAGAGGAGACTGCACAGACACCTTGGTGGGAGCATTTGATCTCGGCAGTATTTCTGCCCCAGTCATGGGTGTTGGACTTGATGATCTTTTGAGCCCTTCCAGCACTTCATTTCTATGATTCGATGTTCCATGTCAACTCTTTGAAGGATAAGGAAACGCAGAGAAAATGCATTCTCGTCTAACTGGCAGACTGCAAGATGCCAAAAGTCCTTGGGTTACTTTGCACGATTTGACAAAATTGTTTCATATGATTTGCTATTAGAAGCAACATATTTGCAGTTGAAGAAAAGCAGTGCATGTGCCATCCTCACATCTAAATGCAGTAGGACTGGGAATTACCTGGCATGTAGAGTGGTACCTTTCTCTAGGGAGTTGTCTTTTGACTTAACGTTAGAATGAATCTGGGCATCACAGAGACACTCTTCATTTCACTATTCTCCACAACAAAATCTTTGTGTTGCTTTAATTTCCACTCCCGAGACACTCGGAAACAGAATAGTAAGAACTGGAGTGGGTCAGGTTGGAGACGTTTAGTGCAGATCTTTCTCAACACAGTGCAGCTATGAGACTTGCATCCTGATGGCCATTGAACCTACTCAGCTTTTTAAAATGGAAGGGGTGGGGGGAAGAAAGAAACAAAACCCTACAAGAACAGCCAATGTGTTGTCCTGGGAAACCTCTTCCATTTTACTGGGCCTGTTTAGGACATGAGGGCTAATATTTCCAAAACATCTGAATAACTTGAGGAGACTTAAGTGACTTCTTCAATTATATTTAGGGCCCTGCTACATGTTCAAATGAAAGCTGGAGAGAAAACAGCTGTAGAGTTGTTGAACATTTTCAAACCCTGACTTTGAAGTTGATTGGCTCTTTTTATAGCTGGATAGTCATTTTATTGTGTGTGAATTACTTTGCATATGTGGCAGATCTACATTTACTGCACAATTCATCAGTTAATTGTATAATATATGTAATGTGTACTGGGGGCCTTAGGCTCCTAACTCCATTCTGAAAATTTTGCCCAAGAAGACCAGACAAAATAAACATATATAGAAGGGCTTCTGATGCACAGCCCTACAAGCTGATGGTTAATAGTACCCAACGACAGATGAGGAATGAATGTGAAGGGCCTGGTATCTTCTCTGAACCTACTAACCCTTGGTTTCTAAGACTGACTATGCTGAAATTCTAGGAAATCAAATTTCTTCCAAGGCACTCCCATTTTGCAATGTAGTTGGACCCTACTCCAGGCAGCTTCTGCGTTCTTTTAAAGAGCTGGCTTTCAACACTGAGGTCGTGGCAGGACCTAGTGTGAGGTCCTGGCAGGATGAGGTTGACAGCTGTAATGTAGCATTTGTGAAGGAAAAAAATGCTGCAAGGAGCTTGGAGTACATGTCAGGGATAGCATCTGATCCCTGAGTGGCACTGCTGGTTTCCAAAAAATCATTGTCAGCAGCTGTCCCTCGATATGAGGATGACCGTCTTCCAATAAAGAGAGAAGTCATTGGTGAGTTTGGAGATGACTGCAGACGCCAATCCAAGATCCAGATATTCAACTACAGACATGACAAATAGTTTTGCAAGGAGGAAGTGGATACCAGTGATGGTGGGTCATAGGTCTTTCCCTTTGTCTCTCATCAGTTATCCACCTCCACAGCGAGGCAAATTTGCTCAAAAGGGGGTAAATTCTACGTGTAAAATAAGGCTACGGCATTACGTGAAGGGTTCTGGCTATTAAATGCACAAATGGTAAGAGTTAATCTGGGTTAACAATCAGATTTAGGCCCCGGCTACACATTACAATTAAGATATGACTAACCAGTTAATCCTTTCTACTTTGTAACCTGACCGCACGTTAAAGCAATTAATGGCATCATAAAACAAGGAATAAACCACAAAATTCTTCCAGAAAAATGTGGGGTTCTATCATACCATTAACTGAATGTGTGGGTAGGTATGCCCACTAGGCTGGAAGTGCTTTCAGCTGAGGGGGCTCCCAGCTGCAGAAGCCCGGTACTTGCTGATGCGGAGGAAGCCCTGTATCGTGATCTGAGGCAATAAGGTGCAATGGGATTTGAGGCCGGATCTGTGCCATGGCAGGAAGCATGATTGTGTGGATAATGCATCAGATCCCATCCATGCCTTTACCTGTATGTCTTGCAAGGTCCATTACAGCTGCAGTTTGAAGACTCAATTTCCCATAAAATCCCATTAGGATTGAAAGCAATGATCAGCCAAACAGAGCTGCTAGCCCCCAACATATGGGATCATCATTTACAGTAAGCTGAACATGTGGCAATTTTGGTCTATCACCCCATGAGAATTGGGGATAAGAAGGGATTTCAGGGAAAGGAGAGAAACATTTAGTTCTGAATTTAATTTCTTCTCTAGCATTTTTTTAAATGTTTTTGGCTCCACACAGTTTATTCAAAGTAAAAGAAAAAAAAAAAAGAGAAATGTTGTCAGGGATCTAAAAGTGAGCATGTGATAAAGTGATTTCAAAGTTGTTTAAAAAAAAAAAAAAGATGTTAAGATGTTAATATTCACTCTTAAACTGACTTGTTTAGCGGTGATCAAGATTACCAGGGGGACAGTGAGTGCTGTTAGGGTGAAACACAATATTTTTAGCCTTTGCCAATTGACTTTCAGCAGCAGGAACATGAGAAACAAGGACCTTAAATATTATTGTACCATCATACAAAATGACTACTTTCAACCAGAGCACCCATATTGGGGAACACTATGTTTGAGCACCCAGGACAGAGGCTGGGGTGTGTTAAAAGGGGGAATCATGGTGACTACTGGGGAGCAGCGGGGGCAGAGGGAGAGGGAGTGCAATCTTACCTGCCCCTACTCTCTTTGCTCTGGCTGTGCTGCTTATAGCTCCCCACTTTATCCTTCAGCACCACATACCACAAGCAGCTTTCCAGGGATTTATGTTACTTCGAATGACTCTCACTATAACCTGGCATGGCCTCAGAGCCCTTCTAGCCAAGTGGCCTCCAGGGCCATCGAAGAAGAAGGGCCCTTTTATAAGGCATGCATTGACAACAAACATGACCAGATGAATTCACTTGCCTTATTGAAGGGCTGCACTGTATGGAGAAGTGGGTTCAAAAGCGACCCCAAGCATGTACCAGAGGGCTGGGTTTACCCCTAAATGTGTCATTTTGGCTACAAACTGAAATCAGCTAGGTGTGGGAAATCTAGTCAAACTTCCCCACATTTTCTATTCACTCCCAGGAGAAGGGATGGGACTGAGAGAAAGCCCTCACCTGTTATTTATATATTTATATTCTCAACCTACCTGCTGTCATGGTTCAGTGGCGGACTCCTTATCTACCCCATGGGACACCTGGGTTTGATTCCCAGCTGTACATATAACTACAGCAACCGATGCACCAAATGTCCAGAGTAAGCCATTCAGTAGTCTAAAAGGGGGATGGACGGTCTGGGCAGTTTCCAGTCCCCCATAATCCTACCTAAGCATATGCATTAAAGGTCCTGGTGACCTCTCATGCAGACACCATAATCCAGAAGGATCGATGACTGCCTGCTATATTCTCAACCAGTATTTTTTTGTTGTTGGGTTATTTTTTTGCAACAGTACAAAACGTATATTGAGAAATGGCCACGATATGACAAGGGCTTTTAAATATACCCTAGCACTACGCGTGCTTTAAACTGCCTGGAAATGTATCGTTCACATTTCTACAAGCAGCCAACCTGCAGCAATC